ACATAAGTGAAGTCACTTCTCCTCCCTCACACCCTCCAAACTGTCAGTGACAAGACAGGCGGGGAGAGATTAAACAGAGCAGCGGACAGAGAACTAGACAGACAAACTGTCAGACATACGTAGAAGACAGGTGAACAGACAGGCAGAGCAAATATCGACAGTCAGAAATAGAGGAAACAAGAGGGTGGGATTACAGGACCATTAGGCCAAAAAAAAAATAAATAAAAAATAGGTAAAATGAAAATTATTTCAATCCGTTTACGTATATAGTGGGAGGGCATGAACATTTTTTGGCTTTGGTAAGGAGGTCATGAGAGAAAAAGTTTGAGAACCGCTGACGTAAGCCAACATGGGGTTAAACATGTCTGCTCTCTGGATAAGTGTTCAACTAGAGAAAAGTTTGTCATGGTCAAAAATGAAACTTAAGCTCAGACCCAGCCTGGCCCAGTTCCATCTGAGGACACAAAATCAATTTCCACTCACCTTTTCCCTCCTTTCACAGGCTGTCACTTAGCCACAGCAAGTTTCTTTCAGAATCAGAGCTGTCATCTGGTCAACTTATTGATCTTTACAAATCTCTAAAGACCAGGAGCTAGCACAGTCCTACATCGGTGATCATCGTCCAGGATTTGGGGGGGTAAAGCCTCATGAGACAGTTTGGTTACAAGCCCAAGACTTAAGTTAAGCAGCAAGGTTGAGATTCTGTAAAAAAAAAAAAAAAAAACACAACAGGTATGACTGATGACAGATTAACCAGTTTATCTGCTGTGCAGACCAGGAAAAACTGCACTAGCATGTACAGAAACCAGAAAAGTGGCTTCCAAAATGCTTAGAGGAATAGAAACAGCATAAGTGAAAACATTCATTACAGCATGCTCTGAATGCAGCTTTAGGAGCAGCACTGATATTTGTATATTTTACTTCCAGCAAGTAGATTGTCTTAATGCCGTTTCACACTGGAGCGTACTTCGTCTTCTCACTCATTCTGCCATCTCAAATGTGAACTGCTAAGGTAATGTCACTTGAAATCCTTTTTAGAAGTACCACATATTGCCTGAAAGCTCACTTATAGCCCAGTTTCATCCAAAAGGTGGCCTTCAGCAATAAAAATTATTCTAGTGTTTTGTTGCGACCAAAAAGGAAAACAAACAAATTGAGGCTACCGCACATCTCGGACATGTACAGTACAGACCTTCAGGGAGCTTTAACAAAAAGGGTTACTTATGTAGCTGCTAATCACGAGATATCAGAGCAAGGCAAGTTCACTTGTATAGCACAAGGCAATTCAGTGTTTTATGTAAGACAAAGAATTCAAAAGGCCGCATCCGATGATGAACTTGAATCCGATGTTGAACTTGAAACGGCAAAACCTTCACTGTGGGAATGACACACCGTCTAATTTAGGACTGACTGATCTTTAGGGGGAAATGAAATCATCTTCAACACTTATTAAACCACAGTTCATGAGTGTGAGCATCTGTAAGAGTCTAATATGCTTCTAAAACACGGGTGACCTACATCTCACATGGTGCCTGACAGAGGACCTATAGGATGCTACTACAAAGTGCTGCTTTCACTCACTTTTACATTTAAAACTCAGTGCACATTAGGTAGAGAATATAACACTGAAAAGCTACAAAGTGGTCCTTTAGCTGAGAATTTTGTGTCCAGCTGGGTTTTCTGAAGATCAAGAACAAACATGCAAGCTCAACTGGATATTGGATGAGAGAATCAACAGTAGTCCAACACGGCTACTAATGAGTTTCAAGAGCAACTGATTTTCATGCCATGAATATTTCAATTTGGTCTCCGAGACACACCAGGCAGACCATGCAGAGCAGTATCGGAGCCTGGAGGTTCCTGAGGTTGTAACACAGGGAGGAACATGGTGCATTACTGACCTCTAATGGCAGGACAACATAATCACACGTCCTGTACAAATGGTTAAAAAATGCTCTTACTAAATGCAGCTTACAGTTACATCCACATAAGGATACATTGTTTAATTTAATAAAACAATCCTATAACTCAAATGATGAACCACCATTTTATCAAACAAATAAAAAACATCTTTATTTTAAGAGTACGCATGACAGCTATTTAAAAATAGCACAGTATCATCCGGTCGTCTTTTATACAAATATTTAGGATGGTGATATTAACATGATAAACACTGTACAATGTTTGAAAATACAAACAGGCATCCCAGCCAACTTCAGCGATATATGAAAACCTATAACTTGAGGGCCAGTGCATAATTTATCAGTAAAAGTAAGCATTTGACAACTTCTCCATCTCACCCATTAACTTAAAAACGTACGCACACACAGACAAGGCTTACAAATTACTAATGAATTCAGATTTCTCTTTTTATCTGATAAAAGTAATAAAATGAATGCCAAAAAAAGTGTACCAACGCTAGAAAACAAACTGGCAAACTTGCCCACATTAAAACTCTTTTCCTTCACAAACTGGCATTAAAGATTTATTTCCAATATTATATAAAAGACAAGACTAGACTATGTGTATAAATATTTAACATATTAACAAATTATATACAAACTGGCAAGATGACATTTTTGGGGTTTTGAGGTGACATCTCACTGGGACAAAGCTTTCTCCAAAATGTCAATGTTGACCAACGGCAGGGACGCAACCTCGAAAAACACCCTGAAAGATATTAAAGAATCGATTAACAGGACTGTTTCATCTCACCACTTCATTATAAATGAGTCGGATGGGTTTTATGAGTTTTTAGATTCATTGCTTACTTGTGCGAGTATTTGTTTCTGATGGCTCTGAGTTTATCGTCTGCGGGGGCTGAAAGCATCATGTAGAGCTTCCTGACAACGGGCGCCAAATCTGACGTCTCATAGCCGGAGTGGAACTGCAGGATGGGAGACTGCAGTACAAGAGAAAACAAGGAGGACATTTGCACTGTTGCTCATACATAAATGCAGCCAGATTGAATCTTTAAAAAGCTACAAAAACCAAATATAAAATTCACATCTCGGGTTTCATAACTCAGCCTCTGTAGTTTTCAATGTGTTACATAAACATTATCATTTCTAAATTGCAAAAACCCACACAGCTGCTGATTCTGAGTCAGACAAGGAACAAAATGAAATTACCCACCATCCCTTGTACTACTGCTGCAATGAAAACTTAAATTTACATGGAAAAGATATTTACATTTAAATTGAAAGGAGAGGGACTGTTTGAGACAGAACTGCGGTCTGGCTCTTCATGCAGAACTGAAAATACAGCCTAGTCAAACAGCTGAGAGTGGAAGTCCACCTTTAAGAGGTTATGCTCACTTTCAGGTTCAAAATCTTATTTTGGGGTTGTTACCAGAACAGGTTTACATGCTTTCATTTTAAAAAAAAAACAAAAAAAACACCATTTGTGTGTCATACTGCAGCTCCTCTTTTCACCCTGTGTTGAAGGCTTCGTTTTAGCTATGGAGTGATGCATCTCACCTCTACAACATCTTTGTTGGGAGTTGCACATGCAAAGTTCCTAGCTAAGGACTACTAGCCAATCAGAAGCAGAGAAGGGCGAGTCAGTCAGAAGCAAGTAAACACAGCCAGCTCAGCAACATGGACTGGAGCAAGAGTTTCAGAGTGGTGAGTTATTAATCTGTAACAAAAGTATCTTTCATCCATAAAGTTTTAACTGAGCTCTGTCTCTACATCACAGTAACATCTTTATGTCCACTGACTGCCTGGAGGGTAGCTAGTGTTTGGAAGGGAGAGGAGAGGCAGCAGGCGGACGTTTTGTCACTGTGTGCTGCAGCTCAGTTTTTTTCCACCGTTTTTTTTGAGGGTGTGTCAAACTAGCCGCTTGGCGAGTGTTATGATGCGCATTTCACTGTTGGACAGTTTCGAGCTGTTTTTTACAGGCAGTTCAGAGCTGTGTTTTCTGTGGGAGATGGGAACTCCCTTTGGGGTGGACTTTGGGCTTTTTCACTTTGCAAACCTATGACATGCACAAGAAAACATATATAATAAAAGAGAGGGGAAAAAGCCAAAAAGCATAATACCACCTCTTTAAGTGGTAGACCTATTCACCTATTTCACTTGTAGAGCAAACAGTCTTTTACAACGATGTTGTCACAGGAACGAAGCTATCAGGTAAAGCCTCAGTTTTGTGTTGCTATCACACTGAAATAACTAGGACTGGCCCGAATGTCATTTTTTGAGCTTCGAAGCTTCGATAGTAATTAAGAGCGAATAATATAATTGTTTAATGGCCAACAGGTTGCAAAACGAAGCCTGATTGCATTAGACTCAATGACAAAATGACCCTGCTTCTCACTTGATTTACCTCAGTAAACACTTTCCTGATGAGTTTATGGTCTCAACAGCTAGTTTCAAGTCTTCTTTATTACAGCATGATGTTTTTGTAAATTATGGTCCCATTTAAAAGGAAAATAGCCGATATAGCAGGGTATGCTTTAAGGCGTTGCTACCACTACGACCTGTGAATCAGGACAGAGATGAATCGTATCCACTGCACGGTGTACATTTGACCAGTGCTGTTGAAAAAGCTTATTTAACGAGCCGTGAACTTGTTTTTGGGTGCTTTCTGCGTCTACATTAGTGAACTTCGAAGCTTTCAGTATCTTTTCAGCTCATGAAAGGTAATTCTAACATGTTGGTTGCCTGAAAAAAAAAAAAAGTCTTTGTCAGTGTTCGGTTATACTAAGAAAGTCACTAGCTACATACTAGATTAATTAGTTTAGATTAATATCACAGTTAACTTGAACTGCACCTTGCTAACCAAGCTAGCTAGCGCCACGCTCCATTTTGCTCTCCTCCCAAAGAAAGAAAAGTCCTTACCCACTCCGTTACAGTCAAAATGGTGTTGAAGATAACAACAATTTATTCATCTTGTATTGTGCCTAACTTTAGTGTATCATAACATATCGGGTATAAAACTAATCTCCAGATGCTCCAGTTCAAGATGACACCAAACTTTTGTCAATTTTTGAGCCCTGACCAGACTAGGTAAGCTTAGTAGTACCCACATCATAAATCTGGTATGATAACAAACGTGACCCTAACTCTGGCACAAACATCTCAATGCAGAGCTAAAGGCTATGATCAGAACAGAGAGTTAAGTGAGCCTACCCATCCTCCCAGGTCTTTGGTGACCAACGCCATCAGCAGGCAGGCTGAGGCCAGCAGCGAGCCTCTCTCCGTCACTAGCTCCATCTCCATGAGACTCATCTCGCAGTAGTACCGGGCTAGAGTCAGCGTGTCCATGCCGGCACTCACACACTGCAGAGACAGCACAGCAAACAAGAGACTGTCAAGAGCGCGTGCACACACGCACGCACATGCCTGAGTCAAACTCCTACAAACAAAAAGGCTCTTTGTGGATTTTGAAGAGGTGCAGTTAGCGAAGTAATAGAAGGTGTAAGAGCTAAACCAAGTAAACGGCCCACTTTACAATCATCACACACACACCTTGGCATAACGTCTGAGGAACCGATAGGGGATGGGGATGTTGATGTCGAAGGACAGCGTCTGCAGGATGGTGGCCTCTGTGGAGATGAGCTCCTCCCTCTTGTACGCGTCATCGCAAATATAAAGAAAGTCGTCGACACAAGGCGGACTGCGCTCCTGCGGGGTCATCAAAACAAAAAACAAGAAGCAGTGGTTTAGGTGTCAGAAATTGGTGGAAAAGTGTGATCCTCCATCCTATATTGTATTTTGGGATATTTAAAGGTCCTATGGTGAATTTAGTAAGCATGGTCGGGGTCTACTTCCTCTTAACTGATGCTTCATTTTTCTACATGTTTCCTTCAAAATGCTGCTGAATATGTTTGCTATGCTGTCACGCTGAACACACATTAACAAAGCAGAGTAAAAAAACTAGAGTACAGTACTTCTTTTTACAATTCCAAGTTACTCTACCAAAGGAGAAACTACACTTGATTACAGATGATATGTCAAATCTTAAGAGTTTTGTTTTCATAAGGGACCTGGATCTAATGTGCTCTTTAAATATATCCTCACCTCAAATTTGGAGGCTATGAGCATGGCGGTAGAGCCAACGAGCTGCAGCAGCTCCTTGTCCACTGGAGTCTTGGACAGGTAGTGGTCCGTCATTTTCACGGCCAGGTACAGGGTCTCGTGGTACAGCTCAAAGTTCTCCTAAACAAACACATAAACAGAATTCTTTGTTTTGCTGTAATTTGATTTCCGGCATCCAACTGAGCAGCAGCGCCAGCATCCTCTTGATTTTTGCAATTACGTGCTCCAAAATTTACGATTGATTGAACCCCTGGAGAATTAATTAGCAATGATTTTTTTCCTTCTAATTTAACAAATGGATTACCTTGCCCACTTCACACCTTTGAAAGCTCACCTGTACTTCAACCAGCCAGTCAATCAGGATGGCCCTCATCTCGGGGTTGAGGCTGGGCTGCTGGGGCATGTAGTTACAGAGGACAAATTTTTCCTGCAGACAGTAACACAGAAGAGAGACGAGATAAAAACAGAAAGATGACCTTTGGATTGAGATTTTGCCCGTAAGCTTGTCTTTTCAAATCCAAGGAAGAAAGTTCAAGCGCCTTTTAGAATTGGGTAACAGCGTTTTGGTTTGGCTCACCTCTCTCTTTTTGAGGTAGTCGAAGATGTCCTTTGCATACTCCGGACACATGTAACAGTCCTCCGAGTTCCCAGAGTCGATGTCAAACTCCTCTGGGATCTGCAAGGACGGAGTGAATGAGTAAAAGTAGGAGGAAACAACATTTTAGCAAACTCTTCCAGATTGTTTGTACAGGCCTGAAGCTTCTTTGGGGTGTAAAATCTTTCTTACTGCTTGTTTCTGAAGGTGTGCTGGCACTTCTCGGGCAGCAGGGGGCGTAGCAGCCACCCACTCTTCTATGGGAGCTACTACGTTCTTCTGCACCTCCTCTTCCTTTTCCTCCTGTACGTCACATTCGTCTTTCTCAGCAGGCGTCCCTTCTGAGCTCACAGACGAAGACCTGCAGAGGGAGAGAGAGTGCAAATTAAAGACTGAAGGATATAACTACAGAAGAAAGGGACTTAAGTGAAGTGGAGAGTGAACGGTTAAAAGAAAAGCATGGTGTTATTACTTTTTCAGATTGGCATGATTCTTCGTTGAAGCCGAGGTGGAGCTTGTTTTCTTCAACTGCTTCTTCCCAGATTCCTTCTTCCTCCCCGGAAGGCTGATCTGAACCTTATGAGCCTGTCAACAAATTGAGATTAAAATTAATTAATGATTGTGTCCGAACTCACCCCCTCCACTTGTTTTCTATTTCCCCAATATAAACACTTAGTAGTGTACATCGAGTAAGATTATGGACATGATCCAGATTCTGAAGTGACGTTCAGTCTTTTAGGAAAACCGTCAAAAGTACAAAATTGACTCACGTCCAAGAGCTGGAATATAACAGTTTTGGTATCAACACATCACCGACTCGAACCTCTGTGCCACCTAAGTGTTTTGACAGCATTGGCATTTGTGAGGACAGACAAACATGGTGCTCGTTTCACACCCAGGTGAGGTAGCACAGTCCACACATTCACACCACAGTGGAGAGCTACTGGCAGCCCATTTACACCGTCACACCAAACCCCAGGGATGCAGTGTGTCACTCACTCACTCAAACACACGCACACACACACACACACACACACCCCCCCTTATGTGTCATTTATTAAGTTTCACATAGGGCTGAACAATTAATTAACTGCCTACTTCAGTTTTCAAATCACAGGAGATGTGTCAAAATGCCATTTTAAATTAGCACATCATATTCTAGAGACTTAAAACATCTTCATTTGGTACAGATCTTTGCAAGATTCACACCAGTCAAGTCATTTTAATATGCTTTTCAATG